TCTGTGGATTCTTGATGTAGGCAGTCTTGTGAGCAGTAAGCATTCAATGATGCATAGCTTTTCACTCGTAGCTCAGAATAGGGTGTGCTACTATTCTGCAGAACCCTGCAATATTCCAACCAGCTCCATGGGTTGTAAAAACTGATTTTGTCAAAGGGGCCTCTAGGGGCCTAAAATGGCCTTCAAAGGCCAAACCATTCATTGGTGTTATTTAAAGTTTGTAATGGATGGTCTGGATTGCGCTTTGGTCAGCGAAGGATATAAATAGGTTATGATGTGATGGTAGACTCAGCTTTTGAGTCCTATCCTTAGGGTTTCCTGGTTTAGCTAGAGGTGTTGCTATGGAGTTTGGCTTGTAAACTTCCCTTACTATTTCGATCCGTTAGCATGTTTCTCTTGTTTTTCTTTGTTTGATCCTTCACAAACTGGTATCAGAGCGGGTTGACTCCCAGAGCATCTTGGATGCTGCAACTGCTCACTGACTGGTAGAGGAGCTCGTGGAGGGCTTGGCTCTGTTTGTGGTTTTGGGCCTACGGGGTAGGATTTTGTTGATCTGTGGGGCAATTTTAGGAGCTGCCTCAGGAAGTGCCAAACTTGTTCCAAATGGGGTTGGGTTAGGCTGTCCATGAGAGTGATGAACTAGAACCTGGAGAAGAGAATCCTTTCCAAAACCAAGGGAAGGATGAAGCTTCTCTTCCTAACTAGGGGAGGGACTTGCCCCTTGAGGAGCTTCTAGTTCAAGCCTTGGAATGAGTAGATAGAGGCATTTGGGTAGATGACTGAGTTCTCCGGTCAGCTACAACCAAGTGACTTCTTAGATTGGCTTGCTAGCGTCGAGACATTTTTTGAGTGGAAGGTGCTACCCGAGTAGAAGGTGAAGTTCGTAGCGACCCAAATGAAGGAGGCTTTCCCTCATCTAGTGGCAGCAATTGTAGGCAAGTCGCTTGCATAAAGGAAAAGTTTGTCCCGGTCAATTACTCCCATGCAAAGGTTCCATCACTTACTCCAGAAGGAGAAGAGCGTGTAAGAATATATAGAGGAATTTTTCTTACTAATGAGCTGAAATGAAATTCAAGGAATTGATGATCAGCTCATAGCTTTCTGAATCAGTGTCTTGAAACTCTAGATTCAAGATGAACCGATCCTACAGCTGCCTATCAATCTCATAGTTGTTAGGATGGGTATCGGAACAATACTGGGATCGGGAGTGGGGGATCGTGAAATGCTAGAAGATTCCTATGGTTGGAAATGCCATCCATACAATGCACATGTTACAGATCGAGATCCCCAAATGTTAGGAATCGAGATTCCAACCTTTTGGGGATCTTGGTGCCGACTTTTGGGGGATCTTATTGTCAACCTTAAAGCTTATGGTAATCTAGGATTATTTATACTCTTTAAAGTGGGGATCTCATTATTTATAGCGAGCAAGGAATGCAACTATAATATAAGCATGGTTGTGCTGCTGGTTGGCTGGCTATAAACAAAGAAAATTATTAGTTTGGTTGTTGTCTTGGTTTTTAAGATTGGGATCGAGATCTCTAATAATAGGAATCAGGATTCCTAACAGGGGGTCGAGCTCCCAAAATTTAAAAATCGAGATCCTTAAGAGATCTGTTCCGGGAGTTGCAGAATAACTATGATTAATCTTGGTGAGGCGTATTGGTATTCCTTAAAGGCTGAGGCAAAGCTGAAGAGAAGCGCTGATGTTCGCTTCTTTCACCTAGGGGTCCTCCTTGGCCACTAAAGGGCAGTATTAATCTACGGCAATGGGAGTCAGCTAACCCGAGTTTTTGATCGTGTGATGGGCTGAAAGTAGGTAAGAACCCTGTCATGAGCAAGGCTTCCCATGCTATGATCATATAGCATTGAGTGTTTCAAATGTGGTGAACAGGGGCACTGCACTTTCAAGTGCCCCAAGAGGCAAATAGTTACATACCTTCATGAGGTGGATGAGGACTGGAGTGGGATATTGAAATGGATCCTATCTGTAATGAGGGGCCTGATGATGAACTAGCAGGCGCAACAGAGCAATATATGGATGAGGGAGAGTTACTCATAATTAGGCAACTATTATGCTCCGTATATAGTCTCCAAGGGAGACTGTTAGCCTATTATGCTGCTATTTCATATTAAATGTTTTCAAGCATAGTCAGAGATCATTTCGCCCTTCCATAGTAAGCCACTGAATTCAGAGACTAAGATCTTACAGGTTTCGTGTAGGAGCTGGTCTCATAGAATCACTACCCTTATAGTTTAATCACTTTCTTTCTTTTTAATTGTTTATAGTTTAATCACCTTACAAGAACCAGACTTGATTTGAGTACTAGTCAGTTGGATTTATCTATGGATCAGTCTCAACAACTGTAAAACTCAGAATATCACGTCCTAGGATCAAATTGGCCATACTAGTGTAATTGACTCTTGCATTGTTGACCATGCTTTTTAGAATTCCATGGATTTAAGTTTCAAGACGTCATATCACACTAATGTCAACTTTTCTATCGTAGATTTCTGTTGTAAAATAAAAATCATATTCTCATATACGATTATTTCTTCTTCAAAAAAAAAGAAAAACATAAATTATAACTGTAAAAAGCAAATATCAAATAGCATGCAGCTATTCATTCATTATCTGTGTGTGTGTGGGATGTATAGGTTCTATTTTACCATTTTTCTTGTTGAACCGTCAATCTTAAATCTGAGTGGGTCCATGCCCCGTATCAGCTATGGGCAATACATGTTTCTTGTTTCTCTAATGATGCTCAACATACTGGGAACTTTCTTAAGATGGAAAATACTGCTAGAGCCAGGGTGTATGGCATTTGAATATCAAAAATGTGCCTCGTGTCTCTTTGAAGCTGAGTTTAGGATGTGTAGAGAGATGGAAAATACTCCTAGAACCAGGGTGCATGCCATTTGAATATCAAAAATGTGCCTCATGTCTCTTTGAAGTTGAGTTTGGGATGTTTCTGAAACTTATGAGTTGCTCTTGATTTAGTTGATATTTTCTTTCGGTAAATGATGTGAAGTATTCAAGCAAACTCTAATGGTTTTTTCTTGATTTGTTCAATGATACCATGAGTTCCTTCGTTTATGCAGCCCTTTCTTTTGAATCCATTTTTTATTTCTTACGATGTTCCGTATGATGCCCAATTGCTATAATTGATCTGTTTTCTGTTTCAGATTGATGTACTCGAGGTTGATGGAGTTTACTATGGTGTGTGCTTTCAAATCGATTTGTGACAATAGTATATTATCTTTAGAGTCGACTGATTTGAAGATTGGAGATGTTCTCAAGGGCATATCTAAATCTCCTGTTTCAGTCCATTATATTGTTTGCTTATGATAAATAACTAGATCCTGGTTTAATTTCATCAGGTTTCTCGGGTTGTCACCGGTTTGAAGCTCACCAACGGCTTGGACTTGCAAGCATACGTTGTAAAGTTCGGCGTGGCACTAAAGAAACTCTCAGGTGAAACAATTATAGCATGTTTCTTTCATTGATAAATTATGTTTATTGATGTTGTTTTGCAATTTTCTGAATTGCCTTATATAGAACCTTCAATGACATGGTGTTTCTAATATTTGTCTCACAGGCATCACCTGCGTTAACAGCAATGCAAATTCAAATTATATATCAAATTAAGGAATTGAGTCTAATACTAAGATATAGTAGACGGAAGCATGGTGATTGGATTGTAGCATGTATACTACATTTGATCCATATTGTATCATAGAAATGTCAATGTTGCGCGTATATGTCGTATTTCAAGAAAAAGAAGTAATTGTTGTGGAAAACATTTAATTAGAAATGCTGATATAAAACTTCAGATCTGTATGGGAAGAATGATAAAATTCAACTTACTCAAAAAAAAAGAATGATTTTAGAAATGTAAGAAAGATATGATTCCTTATGGGCAATAAATTGGAACAGAATATTGTCAGTGCTCGATCTTTGGCTTGCAATGGAAAGGTATAGTATCATTAGCAATATGAACCGTAAGCCGAGGTGTGAACATGGTAAGCATAGTTAAACAACTGTTGATTAATTGGCCATGTCATAGATAAGTTTTGATTTTATTGAGCTTCGTTTTGTTCAAATTCAAATAAAGCTCAATTTCCGAAGATTTGACTTTCTTTTGTACGACCAAAGAAGGTTAGGCATGCCTAGTGTTGTTTAGTGAAAAGACTCCTTTGTCAAATAATTGTAGGAAACTGCCTGTGCATGCATGCGTGTCGGACACACAGAATGCGGGCTCCTTGATCTCTTATGGAAGGACAGCTTCCATGAGTCTATGTAAAAATGAGTCAACACTTACAACTCTGTTTTTGAGATGGATTTTCTGACCAATTTTTAAGGACATGTAATATCTAACATGGAGATCATGAATATAAAAAAATAAATAAATTTTAAGAAATAAAAATAATGAAATAAATAAATTTTAAGAAAGAAAATCATTTGACATGGAGATCATGACTATAACAAATAAATAAATTTTAAGAAATAAAAATAATGAAATAAATAAATTTTAAGAAAGAAAATCATTTAACATGGAGATCATGAATATAAAAAAATAAATATATTTTAAGAAATAAAAATAATGAAATAAATAAATAAATAAATTTTAAGAAAGAAAAATAATGATTTTATGAAGAAAACATTTGGACCTTCAATTTTAATTTTTTTTAGATGGACCACCTATTTGCATCCATCATTAAAATCGATGCTTTGTACCTTGGGACCGTATATTATAGAAACGCGGTCCAGCCAACTTGAAACAATGTTCCCTAATGGAATATTTTGTATATAATCTACAATTTTTTATTTGGTTTCCCAAACTGTTTGCAGTATTACAGATATTTTTATCCATAAAAACTTTAAGATCACCATTATCGCCAAAACTTTTTCCCAAAACTTTTTTCCAAATAATTGGAGTTAGCTACCACACTGATTCCATGGAAAGTTCAAGATCAAAATAAAATGTTAAACCAGTGGGTATTATGTTAACCTTCCCATCTAAGGTCATGTATGCATAGAAAACATACAACTTTTCGGAACCACTAAATAAATAAAAAAAGCATATAACTTTTTGGCAGCTGTATTATAATGGGGAAAGCAACATGTTTTCCAAGACATCCGACATGGCGTCCAGCAGGCTGAAAGTGATCTCAATGTCTGAATAGTTGAAACATCACACCCGCATCATGAATCATTACAAGATACCAGGATGCATATTCTCGCCCATCAGATTTCATGCTGAAGGCATAGTTTGCCATTTTTCTGAAGTCAATAGCCACTTTGGGCATGATGGTAATGCATCTAACTCACTGGAAAATGAACTTTACTCATCTAAGAAGAAAACAACAAAACCACACAAAGACATGGACCCAGTGAGCTCTGCCTAAACCAGCCAAGCTAACTAGCAAACCATCATACATACATTAAGCAATTATATTAAGGGAAGAAGTGGAAAGCACACAGCCACTCATTTGTAAGATATTGGGCCTGATCTTGAAACAGCAAACCTAGGCAACGGGCTAGGGCCTGTGCTCCCTGAATTGGAGCCCTCAACAAATGTTACCTTCCGACTGGAACTATACTCCAAGGGGCCTGAATTCCTCACATGTCGGGGCCTATTCTCGGTGCTCCGTATGCTTGAAGTCTCAACTTCGTGGAGTCTTGATGATGCTTTGAAAGAGGTCGAGCTGCTCCCATTTAGCTCAAGAGTTGCACGCCCAACTCTTGGAGATGTGTACGCTAATGATAAAGGACTTGGTGAATGGCGAGGTGATGGTTGGAGTAAGGATAAAGGACCACCCATTGGATTTCTGCAGTTTCCGTAATATTGGTGGTATAGAGAGCGTAGAATAGAGTATGGCACATGGGACTCGAGTGTGGTCCTTGGAAGGTAGGGAGACATCTCACACAGGTGATCCAGGAAAATGATCTTGGATACAAGATTAGACCTATGTGCATAATAAAGAACAATTACGCAACTAACTTTCAACTTTTGAAAACACACACTACACACTCACACACATAACATATATGGGTTATTCCATAATACACAATACTAATAGTGAACTTAAAATTTTCTACTCCCAAGTTTTTTGACAACAAAATGCCCTTACAGATATAAAAATTACATTACCAATGACTTGTTTGAAAATTTTGAAGAGGATATATTTGTAATTTTAAATTGATTTTAAAATCCAATCATCATTCAAAAAGTCAAAAGGATCTGTTTTCAATTTAAGATCAATTTTTGGAGGGATTTTGAAAAGACGAAAATACTCTTTTAGAATACATTAACTATTTATAGTCAAAAGTCATTTTGAACATATAACCGGATTCTATAGTCAAAAGTTTTGGAGTAAGAAATTCTAAGTTCACCATTAACGTAGTGTGTGAATGTGTAAATACACACACATCGGGGAGATTACGGCCGATAGATTATGACTAACTATAGCTCAGGGTTATTATTATGGTTGGTTGAGGTGACTGAGTGGAGTAAAAGTGGAACCCCTGATGGGTCCCACTCATAATTCACCATCCATTTCAATTAGGTGATGACCGAATGGGACTGATTTTTCAATAGTTTGTTGGATTATAGTATACCTTTCCATATATGCAAACTAAATCAATTTGCAATTATGAATCAGTATACAATCAAGTTATCATGGTTAGTTGAGGTGGCTGAGTGAGATGGGATGAAAGTGGAACCCAATGAGGGGATTATATCCTGTTCCGATGGGTTCCACTCTCTTTATCCATTTGAATGAGGTGATGACCCAATGGATTGGTTTTTCCATAGTATGTTGGATTATAGTATACATCTTTGCATACTAAATTCGGCCATATGAATTGGTATACAATAGAACTAGGCCATAATGAAGACGTTTGCCTTCTTAGTTTCCCTTCAGAACACCTACTACTAGATGTTCCAGCTGTTATTCCATCGAGTAAGATCTATTCATATGCAGTTAGTCCCCAACTTCTCACTTTCCATGACTGTCTCCCCCTCCACTTATTAGAGCCTGATCTAATTAGGCCTTTGACCCTGCTTGCTTCTGACTCCCTTTGAACCATTTTACTACATGAATCATTTGGATTCAGAGGTTGTGGGAGTTTCAAATCGAAATTCAATTGACTTTGTCTGCATTGAATATCAGAATGGTTTACTGCAAATAGTAGACTTAATTGCTCCATGGGAGTGGGGTATGTGAAATTGGATGAAACCTAAAAGCAGTGAACCACTCACCATGCTTCAGCAGTTTGTAGGCAAACCTAATGGAGTATATAATTAGGTCTTCTCATTACCAAAACAAACCTAGATTTCATTTACTTGAGAAACAACTATAACTAACTGTTTGTACGCTAGTCACATGGATTACTGTCAAACAAAATCTGAGCTTTGATATGAACTAGTTGTGGGGGTTTTGTGGCCTTTTAACACTTGTAAGAGTATGCAAATAAAGAATTATAGTGGATTATACACTTCAGTGGGAGTGTATATGATGGTTGACTGACCTAGGGTTAGGTAGTTCATGGCCCTAGTCATGTCAAAAACCATTTACTTCTGGGCATATGGAATTATTGAATAGGGTTTTAAGAGGGCCATCCCTTGTTGAGGTTGGTAGGATGGCCTAGGATAGTTTGCGAGCCCAAAGGGCTTTGTGGTCTCCTGTGTACGGATGTAGGCCTGTGAGAGCGAAGGCTAAATTCTCAACAAACTTCCACGGCATTCATACATGACAACCGCAAAGTACCGAGAAGCAAACATAAAACGGGATATATGTACATGTGCATAGAGAGAGTCCCCCTATTACTACAGTGATGTGTGGGTGACTTGCTCTTAAGGAGAAGACCAGTAATCCACATATTGGAACTGTGGTTTCACTATTTATTTGCCAATTTTGATGAGCAAATCATAAGCCCTTGCATGAGACTATGGGCCATGGGCTTCGTTGGGCCGGCTTGAAAAGATAGTCGAGGATCACAGTTACTATGTTGGGTGGAGTGCCGTGACTTATTTTCCTTGATCCCTTGGTAGCAATCCACTTCTAGAAGTTCTAATTTCAGTTTCAAAAATGATTTTGTATTTTTTAGGAATTTTTAAAATAATTTTCAACAATTAAAAAAACTCTAAAAAGGTGTTTGTGTAATTTCCAAAAATCCCTAGGGCATTATGGAACCCGCATGAGGGGCTCACACGTTGGGGCCCCACATGAGTGTGGGACGGGGCCCACATGTCCTAGCCTAATAAGGACGCTCCATGTCTTTTCATTTTTGGTTGTTACTTTTAATAAGAATGTTTTATTATAGAAGGAAACCTCATGAAATATTTTCAAGTTTTTTTTTTTTGAAAGTGAGAATATTTTATGTTTTGAAATTATACTTTTACATCTTTTGTTTTAGACCAAATATCATTGACTTTGAATTCCTACGATCTCTTAGTGAGAACAAAGGAAGTTCTAGTCAAGATAGGATACGTTTTGATTCGTTTTATCCTAGGTTGACTAAAAGTGGATGTACGTTAAAGATAAAAGGGATAAGGTTACTAGATTTCTCCCTAAATTATGCTGGCTGATTCATTGGATGGATGACTCAGATTTATTTCTGTCTCACCTCACATATTATTTGGGATTCTTATGGCCAAGATGAATTCTAGATCATATAGGCATGCCTAGACCCACTTGAAGGTCATAAATAGAGGGCAGACCCCCTCATTCTCAACATTTGAAATTTATCTGAATTTCCTTGCCTCTTTCCTCTCTCCTCCACGCGCCTCTTTCTCTCTCTCTCTCTCCTTGTTCTAAAAAGGGGTGGCATGCACCATTCTAGAGAACTTGGGTTGGCATGCTTAGGTTATTCTGAAAAAGGAGGTGCCACTAAGGTGGCACACCCTAAGAGTCTCAAAAGGGTCTAGAAAACTAATTGGTTTTATTCTCTCAAAACCTAGTTCTGAAAAAGCTATTGTCTAAAGGATCTTCCCGACTCAAGAAATTCAGTAGGGCCAATAGGATCAAAATGCATCATTGGTCAGGTAATTGGGTGTGGAATGTACCAAGTCCTAAGTGGGTGACAGTAGGCAAAGACAAGTAAGTCATCCTAGTTGTTTTCAGTTTATTTTCATTTATTATTGTTTAATTTATTGTAATTTTCAGGAACATTATTTGTATTAGAATTCTTTGTTAAAGCTTGTATTCAACCCTTGAATATTTATTTGGTAGTAAGAGGAAAGATCCTAGGTTGTATTTAGGGTTTTATTTCTTGTTTACTTTTATGGCAATTGTAAGTAGAATTCAGATATATTAATAAAAGAGAAGAGAATTTTCTCTTTTTTTTATTCCCTGGAACTCCAATGGCCACTTCTTTCACTAGTCCACTGAACTCTCAACACATTGCACCTTCTGGCTGGTGGTTATCGTATTTTGTTCTTTGAATAGATGAGACCAGAAAAGAATGTTACATGCTGATATGAACTATTTTGCAACTATATTTGCTGATTTTTCTTTCTCCCCCCCCCCCCTCGCTCCCCACCCCCCACCCCCACCCCCGCTCTCCTTCCAGTAGAGGATATGTTCAATGAATTAATTGAAAGTTAAATACCTGTTATTCTCACCCCCTGAATCAAGCATAACAGCAGTTGAGCTCTTGACAAAGAGCTGCATCATTGACTTGATGCTTGCCTCAACTGCTACTAGTCCATGAGCTTCAGCCTCAGGTGCTTCATTGGAGACTCTTTCCATTTCCCTCCTTTGAACCCGAACAAACTCACTCCCCGCAATTACTGCATTCATGCACCTGCAACAACAGCCATGTACATAAACTTAGCATGTATGTATGTATGTACTTACATAAATCTGTGTGTGCGTGGAGGGGGGGTGGCAAGGATGACAAACCAAGGGTGACCACTACAGGGTGGGTATTGACTGCTATAGCATCACTCCCCAGGCTCTCTTCCTCTTATGGTTTCGGCTTGTATAGGAAGACAATATTAATGCCAGGCAATGTGCAGTTATATAAAAAAGATAATATTAATGTCATGGCCATGTGCATGTGCTACAGTGTAGATGTGCCATTTCTTTCAAAATTAATGTAAGGTACTTATCTCTTTACTATAATAAATAAATAAATAAATACGACTATAATAAACTCTCTCTCTCTCTCTAAATAAAAGAACCACACTCTCTTTCCCAAAAATTAATAAAGGGTACTTTTTATCTAAAATTCATGAGCAAAAATACAATTACAATAAAAACTTTCTCCCTCTCTCTCACTCTAATAAAAAACCGTGATTTCCCTCTTCCCAAAATTGATAGAGGTACTTCATCTCTCCAAAATGAATGAATTAAAGTACAAATCCAATAAAAAATATCTATAAAGACCAAATTCTCTCTCCCTAAATAAAACAATTATGCTTTATTTCTTTCAAAAATAAAAAAGAGTACTTTTCTTTATCTAAAACATATGAACAAAAGTACAACTATAATAAAACCGTCTAAAGATCAACTTCTCTCTCCAAATACAAAAAATGTTTACTCCCTCTCCCCAGGCAGTTATAGTGTTTTTTTCATTTTTTTTAAGAGAATCTAAGGTGTGCAAAGGTCACCCTGGCAGGCGCAATCTCAAGGCAGGCAACTAGGCACATGGCCACCTAGGATGCCTGCCTAAGCCCATTTGCTTCAGTGGCCTGCTAGGACCTTCCTAGGCAGCCAGGTGCCGAATTTTTGACTATATATATATATAGTATATATATATATATATATATATAGTATAGAGAGAGAGAGAGAGAGAGAGAGAGACGGA